AGACTCAACAGCCGTCCTGTCTCACAGATCAGTGGATCGTCGGTCTATGAACCCTAGACCCTAAACCCTGGACCGACTTGCACTTCTGACACAATCTACACTCCCGTGCCTGGCACACCATGGATCTGGCGACTGCAACAATGATCTGACGATTGCCTACCTCTCGGCGTTCCCCAACTCCACGTTGGCTGCGGCGGCTGTTCTGTGTGCATATGTGAGAGGAGCTAGATGACGCCGGCAGGGCATAGAGGTGAGAGAGGAGGCTGGGCAGCTGACTGTTGGGATGACACACACACGTGCGTCCTGATCTTGCTGTCTTGTTCTTTCCCTGTCGACAGGCGGAGGAGGGGTTGGCTCGCGCTCATGCGGAGAGAGCAGGGAGAGGGCCGCTGCGCAAACACACACACAGCTAAGGTGAGTGCATGCGAGATGACCTACACCAACGTCTTGCACTGACCGTTCTTCTGACTGACAATTGCTTTCCTCTGCCTTTGGGCATGCATGTGTGTGTGCAGGTGCTGACGTTGGATCACGGAAACCCGTCTGCGGGACGGCATCTTTTTCACTAGCCCCTGTGCGTACGAACCTTGCGTGGCCAGTAACACGTGTGTGTGTAACTAAGGGGTGCGTGTGCGGGTCACTGTGTTGTGGGTGGGTGGGGGGTGGGGTCCAGAAAGCAGGCGCTGCACACATACACAGACAGGGAGGTTGATTTGATGACACTCACTTCATGCATGGGTTTCCCTCTATTCCTCTTCGCTCTCGTATAAACCTGCTACACCTACTCGTTCATCTCTCTCTCTCTCTCTGCCTTGTCTGTCTGTCTGTCTGTCTGGCTCTACTGTCTTTGCTGGTCACAAGTTGACATGTGTATGTGGTCGTGGCGTTCAAATCGACTCAGCGGCAGTCCTCACAAGGGTCAATCCGCTGTTTCTCAGAAGCACTGGACACCCTACACTCTCACACACTACATACACTCACACACACGAAGCCACCCCCTCTCTCAGCACAACTTACACAGACAGACAGACACACTTTTGCTACGGTACGACCGACCCCTTTTGCTGCCTCTCTCTCGCCTTTCGACGGCGTTGGCTTCTGCCTCGCCTCCCTCTCTGTGTTGGCTGCCCTCTGCATGTCCCCTGCCGACACAGAGTGTCGTGGCCGCTCACTCAGCACTCTCTTGCCCCTCTCTGTCCCCTCTGGAGTGAGCAGAGCCGTGACGTTTTATCTACTTCTGTATCATGTGTGCGCTTGGTTTGCCAGCCGGCGCACACCTGGCTCTAGCGGCTCTGATTTGAGCGTGGAGGGGGCGCGCGGCGCTCGACACACTGCCTGAATGCGCTGTCTGTGTGCATTGCACGGCTGTGTTGGCGAGTGGGGCGTGAACTCTGCACGCGGTGATGGCTGCTGGGGGCCTCGACCGCCCTCGCGGCCGGCGGCCTACGGTGTAAGCCATGCTCGTACACAGTATGAAGTTGGCTGGTCGCTGTGGGCCGTTTCGAGAGAGCCAGGCAGGCAGGACAAAGACAGGCAGTGAGGCCGGTGGTGTTGTGCATTGGCAGGGTGGCGTCGTCTCACTCGCACTGCCGCCGTGGGGACGCTGGCTGTCCGGTCGTACCGTAGCCTATGGAGAGGGAGGGAGGAGGGATGAGCGAGTGGTAGGGAGGACGTTGAAATGGCGCGGGCTTTAATGTGTCGTTCGTGTGTGTTCGACCCATCACATGTGCCAATGTCGGGCGGCAGCCACGGTCAAGGCCCAACCGCAGTCTGAGAAGCAAGGGGCCACCACACACGTACACACGTACATCTGCAGACATGACCAGACAGACAGACAGACAGACCTACCTACAGGGGCTCCTTTGCTCGATGCTTTTGTTTTCGTCTTCTCTCTGGTCTTCCCCGTTTGCAGTTTTCGTCTCTCTCATGTTGACTTAGCTCTCTGCTGTCCAGCTGCCTTTGCCGCGTCTTTCTCTGTCGGTCATGTGTCGACAGACCTGGGTATGTATGTTTTCTCGCTGTGCTGTCCTTTTTGTTCTCAATCTTGCCGTTGTGAGCCAGGCGATGCCCTCGTGCGAATGCAGTGCATCGCTCCCCTTGCAGCCGGGCAGGTCGAGAACAGAAAAACGCGCCAGTGAGTACGTGACGTGTGTGCAGGCGAGACGTGATTGATGTGAATGGGCGAGGGTCTGTCTGGTGAAGTAAGTCATCGAATGCATTGAATGCGTCAACCAACGGCTTAGAACAAGAAGAAAGATTTAAAGAGTCCACTTGACTGACACACTCGATCGGCAGAGGGGAAAGGTGAGGTGTCAGTCAGACAGTAAAGCCTCAGACTTAACAGTCATGGTTCAAAAGCACGCCCCAAAAAAGTGCGGAAGAAAACAGCCACGCACCGCACCCATACATACCCAGAAGGTCCTTCCGGGCAGGCCGTCCATCCATCCATCCTTGTCCCTATTTGGGACATCACATCACACACATGCGATGCACCCAGAGCCGCATCTGCCCACCGATCTCCCCGACGGGTTCGCCGACGAAGTCACATCAGAGAGCCAAATGGGATGGTCCATCTGACGTCTGATGCGACGATGGTGGCGAACCGATCAGACAAAGTCAGTAGGCAGACACCAGCCAGTGATAGCCTTTCTGTTATCGATACAGACCGCCCCGCTGTTTCCGCCGCTCTGCCCACTGCGCCGCCCGCCCCAGACGCTCTGCGTGTCCTCGAGTCTAATCGAAACACACAGGGCATCTGGTGCAGCCATGACAGTGAGGCCAGAGAGGCAAGATGGCAACAGGCGAGCCACTTCGAGAAACACCGCCACACGAACCCCTCGTCACAGAAAGACAGCACACAACGGACTGAAGCGCCTCCCTCAGTGCAAAACACAACAGCACCATCTCACCAGCAGCAGCAGCAGCAGCAGTGTGTGTATTGGGTCGGTCGGCTCATTGTCTGTCTAAGCGGTGAGTCCGAGTTTGTTGGCCTCTTCCTTCCAGGAGGGGTACATCTTGTTGAGGGCCTCGACGTATTTGACTTTCGCCTCATCGGCAGACAGACCCTTGACACTGCTCCACGCCTCATGCTTGGCCTGACCACACAAAGGCAACACGCACCACCGACATACACGACGTGTGCAGTGTGTGTGCCGCTGATCTCCGCGCGCATCTGTCTGTGCCACTCACTCACTGCTCACCTTGGCCTCGAACTGTATGGCCCAGGGCGCGTCGCCCTTGCAGTCGCCCTCCGTCGCCTGCTTGTAGTACCTAACCGGCCATCACCACACCACAGCAGCCCAAGTGCATGCCCCTCTCTGAGTCCTGCTGTGCTCTGCTGTGCTGTGGTGTGTGTGTGTACTTGTAGAAGTTGAGCCTGTCGTCCTGCGTCGGCTTCACCGGCCCGTCCTTGGGCATCGACTGGACGAACTTGGCGGCAAGCGCGAAGTCTGACGCAGAGGCCATCGCTGGAGGGACGACGTATGTGTCAATTGGTGTGTGTCGGCAGGGAGGAAGATGGGCGGGGGAGGCAGATCAAACAGGAGAGATCAGCAGCAGCGGTCTTCGGGAGCTGCGGCAAGGCCTCAGATGCACAGATGGCGTCCAGTCTTTTCGATGGCGAGCTTGTGGGGCAAAATTCGTGAAACGTTTCTTGTCAGCCAGAATGCGTTTTTTTCCGTCGTCGAAGCAACTTTTTCCGTAGTCGCCAAGGTCGTATAGGTCGTCCTGATGGTCTTTCTACCTCACTGACTCTGTCAGCGTCTCGCCTGACTCATCGCCCGAAGACCAGATGACCGATGGCAGCAGCCCGGGCAAAGAGGCACTCAACGGCGCCACACGAGGCGGCAGCGGCGCCCCAGCGGCCCACCCGCCACTCTCTTTGCCTCACAACGACCCTCATATCGATGATAATTATAAGGCTCAGCCGACGAGCGATCTGCCGATGGGACCTCAGGGCGGACAATCGAAGGCAAGCAGCGGACAGCATGATGCGGCAGACGCCAAGCAGCTCGATGGACAGGCGACTCGCAGCGTGGTGGAGCGTGTGTTAGAGGTGCTCGTGAGAGAGGCCGTCCGCCGCATGCACAACACGGAGGAGGCCAGCGATGGTCAGGAGGGGGCGGCTGGTGCTAAGCAGCTGGATGGAGAGGCCGCCAAGGTCGAGGCGAGTGGCGGTGTGATGGAGCGTGTGTTGTTGGCTTTGGTGAGGGAGGCCGTCCGCCGCATACACAGCACACAGGGCAGCCACCAAGCCGCCATACCCACCCCCAAGAAGCACCAGCTGAAGCGCAGCCGCTCCTTCGCCGGCCACCCATCGCTCGAGGACAGCGACACGGCACCTCTGCTGCGGCGCGTCAAGTCGTCCCCGGACCTCGCTGCTTCCCTACTCCAGAACCAGGACCAGCAGGCCAGTGGTGTCGCACAGCAGCAGACAGCCATGGCGCTGGGCGCGGCTGCTGCTGCGGGTGATGGTGATGGTGCGGGTGGTGCTGACGAGCAGCAGGGCGGCGGTGAGGGTGTGGGGGGTGCCACCGATAAGCAGAAGCAGCAGGAGGGTGATGGGAAGGTCGATGACCGAGTACAGCAAGAGCCAGTGAGTGAGCCCTTCCCTGGGGCAACACATATCACATCACATACAGGACAGGACAGGACTGGGGTGACACATACACGATGGACGGTGTATCTTACAGAGCCCGTTTTTCCTGTTCTGGGAGGCGAATCCCCGGCTCAACTTGTTGTGTATGCCGCTTCGTGTCGGTGCTCGCAAGGAGTACGAGCTGCAGTCCATGACGTCAGTCCATCAGCTCACCGCACAGGCCACAGGTAAGTCAGCTACCTGACCCGCAAAGCAGCGCCATGGTCAGTCACCCTGTGTGCTGCTGTGTGTGTGTCCAGTTGTGTCGTGGGAGGAGGGGCAGGACGCCAGGAAGCTCATCTGCCAGATGGTAGACAAAGCACATACGCACACCCACACCCACACCCATACACATACGCTGGCTTCTCTGTTGTTTCGATCATCAGCAACGCGTTCTCCCCTCCCCCGTTCGTGACTTTGGCAAGAAGGGCACAAGTTCCGCCAAAGACAGCAGCGCCAAGAAGGGCGGCGGCGGCGGGAGCAGTGCCGCCGGTGGCAAGGGCGCCGGCAGCAGTGGGGGTGCGGGGAGGGGGGCGACCGGCGCGTCTGCATCTGCAGCGTCGGGTGGCGACTCGCCCTCGACGGCATCGTCAGACAGCCCTCCCCCGCCCCCCTCACCGCCCCAAGAGTACGGCCCCAAGACCCTCTTCAATGCGCTCGAGTGTCATCCGCTCGGCAGTCTAGCACGCCAGAACTTCGTGTACCAGTACCTCAAAGGTGACCAACACACACAGAAGACATACAGGCACACAGACAGCCCATCCATCCGGTTGTCTGTCTGCGTGTGTGTGCAGCGTCTGCCAAGCTGCCGATCTGCCCGGAGCCAGTGCATTATGAGACGCAGGTCGTCCAGCAGGGGGCTATCAAGGATGGCGACTTCGGCAGTGCACCTGTCGACTTCTACGTCAACGAACAGCTGGACTGCGACCTGGAGAGCGTAATGCGCTACGCCCGGCAGTGGGCGGCGGGGCAGACGGAGGGCCAAGAGGGGGACGACTGGCGACCCGCCAAACTCATCCTCGAGCTGTCCATCGAGGCGGTGTGCCCTCATACACACGCACTGGAGAGCTGTGTGTCGGGTGGTCACGTCCTCTCTCTGTCTGTCATGTGTGTGTGTGTGCAGGTCCCTTCATTGCGAGAGCTCCACTCACACGGACTCGTCCACGAACACGTCAAACCTAGAGTAGGCACCCCTCCCCCGAAGACAAGAGCCAATGCACCACATCACTCACGGCGCAACTCTCCTCCTCCCTCCCTCCCTCCCTCTGTGTCAGAATATGATGGTCAAGTACGGCCACGGCAAGCGTGTCTATCTGGTGGACCTGAAGCAGTGCCGACCCGTCCGCTCCAAACCTGGCGACGATGACGAGACCAGCCGCCGCAACCGGCGAGGGTGTGGCCAGCACACCCTCCACCTCGCACCCATCGCATCTCTAACCTAGCAGCCACCCGCATTCAAGTGCGTGAGCACAGGCAGGCCGGTCGCACTGAGCTCAACCAAGGGCTGCCTGTCTGCCTGTAGGGATGACCTGGAGGGCCTCTGCTACTCGATGCTGTGTCTGCTGAAGGGGGACGAGTCGCTGCCGTGGGTGGACAACCCCACCCTCCCTGCGTCAAGCAACAACCTGAGTCTGGCCGACTTCAAAACTGTGGCCGACTTTAAGAGATACACCAACGTAGACCAGCTCTGCGAGGGGCTCCCCGGTAGGCCACTGGCAGGCAGTGGGAGGCAGAGGGAGGGATGCACCTCATTGGTCTCTCTGTGTCCGTCTCTGTGTGTGGTCAGGTAGTGTGTGTGAGTTTGTCAAGGAGGTGCTGGGCTACGGGAGGCTGCAGCTGCCGCGATACGATCACCTGATGGACTTGCTGCGAACAGCCATCGACCAGTGAGCACACTCAGTGGGGTGGACGGACGGATGGATGGATGGATGTGCCAACGTCGTGCTCCTTCTCCTGTGGTGTGTGTCAGGTTGCCAGCCTCCGAGCATTTGCGTCGGCTGCCCTTCTTGGATGAGGCCCTCACGCCCCCCGGCTGCCGCATCGCCCGGCACTTCACCGACCAACACAACCTCAGGCGACTCAAGAAGCTCACCAGCCCCCCCGGCGCCTTTGCCGAGACCGACCTCACACCCCCGCCCCCCACACCGCCCCTCCCACCACACACGCCGCCTCCGACCCCACCTGTGGCCAACCGACGTATGCAGCAAATCCCCATGCCATTCGGTGTGCAGCAGCAGCAGCAGCAGCAGCCTCCCATACAGCGTATCCGCATGCCAGTGGCGCAGTTCGCCATGCATATGGCGCAGGTCCACGTGCCGCAGGTCCACGTGCCGCAGGTCCACATGCCACAGGGCCACGTGCCACTTCTCATGCCGCAGGGCCCTCCGGTGCAGCATCACCCGTCCGCACCTCCGATGCGCATGCAGCAGCCCCTTCACAGGCCACCGCCCCAACCGGGCCGTCGAGCGGCCAATCGACGCGTTCCGTCCATCCAGTCCAGGATTGACTTCACCTTGGCACAGCCCTTCCTGCATGATTTCCTGCAAGCTTCCACCGGCCCCCCACCCTGTCACCGCGTGCCCCGCAGCCGCGTGTGGCTGCCTAGCGAGATGACGATGGTCGGCGAGTTCCTGCTGTGGGCCACACAGCCGCCGGCCTATCGGCTCATCAAGAGGGCCGCCAAGGGCGACCAGGGGGGCGGCGAGCTACCGACTGTGACGCTGTCGACACTGCCGGAGAACTGTCTGTGTGGCGTGACCGACTTCATGACGACCCTCGAGATCATCGGCCGTGTGGGCCTGTGGGCCTCCGCCTTCCGCTCGCTCGTCATCAGGCCGGAGTTCCACACGCGGCTGACCATCGCCGGCGAGCCGCAATGGCACCGATTCGACCTCAGCGTGTCGAGCCTCTGGGCGCCGCGAATGACACTCATCTCGACGGCCGACATCAAGCCCCCTCCGCCCCGCCAGCCCGACAAGGCCCGCATAATCGTGCAGAAGCAGCCGTGGCGCAGGCGCTGTGTGCGTGAGATTGGCTCGTCCATGAGCCCCTCGCCGCCCTTCGACAGCGCCCCCGACAGCGCCATGTGTGTGCCCTTCGCCTACGCCCTCTCGTCGATTCTCACTGGCGCCATCCGGCCCCCATTCATCCCCCCCACCCTCCCGGCCGTCAAGCACTACGCCGACCCGCCGTCCATATTCTCGGCCAAGAGCCCCCTGCTGCACAAGGCCCACACCACCGGCGGCACACGCACCGTCCTGCACCCCCGCAGCCCCTCCCTCCAGCCGTTCGCCGTCAACGGGGTGGTGCGTGTGCTGGAGGCATCGCACTCGACGTTGGCCGAGCTGCGTGTGCGTGAGGGGCGGGTGGACCTGCCGGAGGTGCCGGCGGCCTACGGCTTCAAGCCGCCCCGTCCGTGTGGCATCGATCGGCCGGACGACGCTATGTTGGAGTTCCCGAAGCTGACGACTGTGGTGGTGCCGTCGGATAAGGCCAACCTCAGCGGATTCACTAAGGTGACTTTCAACAGACGCACAGACAGAGACCGACCAGTCATGTGCGTCTCCCTGTGTGTGTGGTGGGTGGGCAGGTAGCCTATGTGTGTCGGTGGTCTCTGCCGAATCTGACGTCTCTGACGGTGACCGGCGGCTGCCGCCCTCATCTCAGCCGCAGCGTGAATGCCAGCACCCACTACGCCGGAGGACACCACACCGATGTGGGCCACGAGGACGCCAGCCGCATACTCGAAAGCAGCACAGCCGAAGAGATCAACAGGGAGAAATTTCGGTACGCAATCACAACGCATTCGAGACAGGCACACCGATCTGTGTGCTCTGTCTGTCTGTCAGCGGTGAGACATTGGGTGTGTATGTGGGCGCCTGGATGAACAAGAGCGACAAGATGGAATCGGTTGAGGTCACCGACATGCCGGTGGCTGAGGGAAGACACCACACAGAGTCCATCCATTCTCTCTGTCTGCTGTCCTCTCTTGACAGGTTGATGTGCTGAAGGCCGCCCTGTCCATCCTCTCCGACGGCGGGCTGCCCCACCTCAACCGCCTCACCGACACCAGCGGCCCAGATGCCACCGACCAGACACTCCGCCAGCTCAGGGCACTCCTGCACAAGAAGGGGGCCCCCCTGGCAGATCTGATAGCGGTGCGGCAGATGGCCGACGGCAGCAGTGGGGATGACGGTGCTCAGGGTGAGGGCAGCGGACAGAAGCGGGCGTATGCGGATCGCTGCCACAGCCCTTAGACAGACAAGAAAGACACTGACGGGGTAAGAAATGCTTGTGTGCGGCACCAGAAGCGCCCATCGGCACCTGGATGTGTGTGTGTGTGGTGTGTGCAGGTGTGTTGGGTGACAGACAGACAGCCAGAGGGGCGGGATGGGATTGCCGATAAGAGAGGGAGGGAGGGATGACAGGACCGACCGCTGATCTCACTGACGGACTCATTCACTGACTGCCCTGCGCCAACCGATCGGATGAGGCAGCGAGCACTGTGTGTGTGTGCAGATCATGTGATGGGTGGGGTGACAGACAGGGAGGGAGGGGGGGAGGGGCAGGACCACTGGTATGATTACATGACATGGTGTGTGTGGATAGCTCGAGGAATCAATGTCCATTCGTTTCGTTCGCTGTGGTGCTTCATTCTCATCCATCCACTGCATTCATTTCATTTCACTGACTGACTGCATTGACTGACCGACTGACTGCAGCGACAAATCCGCTGTTGACATGACAGGCATGTCAGCCCAGCCACACGCACACCGACCTCACGTCACGTCACGTCACGTCCAGGGAGTTAGTTCGCCCGCCCGGTTGCTATGCTACACACACGCCACAATGGGAGAGCCACACACACACACACACACACAGAGACAGACAGCCCGCTATGCGATGCACACCAAGAAATAATCATCACCAAAGCACAGCATCACCAGACGGCCACCATGGCCACACCCTACACACATAGACACACAAGTACACACACGCACAGAGACCACGTCATCAATTCCATTCTACGTCGGGCTCAGCTCAGCCGGCCGGCTATAAAATGACTCAGATGGCAAATAAATAATGACAGACAAATGACTGCTGGCTCCACTCACCCACTCGCTGCGCTGCTCTGTCTGCTCCGGCGACCTCTCTGGTCGGTAACAGACAGACACACACACAGACAGACATGCAGGTGCCCATCCATCCATCCATGTAGCGTCCGTACGGTATTGTATATCGGTGGCGGAACCAGACGCTTCATGACGAAGGGATTCTCCTTAGTCAATCCCCTGCACCCACACACGCGCACACGCACGACCGACAGGCAGGCAGGCAGGCAGTGTCCGAAAGTGGTTGTTAAGAATGCCCGTCATCGTGTGGCACCTACTGCTCGCCGAAGACGTCCGTGATGAGCTCGTCGTCGGTGTGTTTGAAGTCGTCGCCCCCCAGAGCCCGCACCACGTCGGCTGCGTCGGTGGCGCCCCGCGCGATGCCAGTGCTGTAGAGGTACGTCTTCAAGTCACCGATTGTTTGGAAGTGGGAGGGCGACGTGTCGGCGTTGAGGGTGGCTGATCCTTCGAACTGAAGTACCGAAGCCGCGACAAATCGTATGGTGGCTGATCCATCCCCTCATCGTCTGCAAGGGCGCCTGGCGGGAGGCTTTCGTGCCAACAACTAACGGTAATAACCCGCCGCATCGATACCAAGTTTCTGAAGGTTTTTGTGTGTTACTGACTGACTGGGGTGAATGAGTGAGCGCATCGAATCGACGAATTCACTGCATGTTGACAGACAGACGCTCATCCACACCCACACACAAATGTCCGATCCATCCATCCACCATCTACCGCGCGTCGCCATGCTATCAGTGCTCCAATGCATTTGCAGCTCGACGTGCATGCCCTCCACACATCAGCCAGACCGACCTGGGTGAAGCGCGAGAGACAAGCTCGGCGGACTACAAATCCATCGAAGCACACTCCTGGGTGGCTGGCGGGCAATCGACCGCACACACATAAATAGATGCCCCCCGCATCCCATCCCCCACCTCGCCCTGCCCTGTACACCAACACCGACCGCACAGGCACTCCACTCAAGGCAGCTAGGCAGCCGACGGCAGCAGCATACGAAAAACGGGTTAGCTACAACAAAAGGGATGGTCGGTCGGTACCCGCCCAACAGCACAAGCACACCACATCAGCAGCATAGCACGCAGTGAGTGACATCCGTCGTTGGCTGCTGGCCATGTCATGCTGCATGGCTTGTATGGTGGGTGGGTGATGCATGGCTGGCTGGTCATCATGCGTGGGATAAAAACGCATCCATCTTATAAGAAAACGCCGACGGCTAGGCTTGATCAAGGCGGCTGGCGCCCATTAGCGCCATCCATCCATCCATCCAGGCAGACAGGCACACAGGCAGACAGGCAGACAGGCGTCTTAAGGCATGCGCGTACAAATACGTCGTCAGTAAGCCAAGCCAAGCCAAGCAAGACAGCGACCGACACACCCATCCACTCTCTCGGTCCATCACCACCCTCTCTCCCGCGAGCATTAAATTGGCAAAAACCCACAGACAGACACCACGGAAGGGAATGAACCAAGAACTGAGAGAGAGAGTGAGAATGAGAAGACAGGAGCAAGGACGAGACACGCCAAGGCACACACACCATGTCAGTGTGTGAGCATGTGTCCGCCCACGCGTGCACGAGACATCTCGATACTGAAGGAGGTACTGTAGGCATATATGTCATGTCATGTCATGTCATGCTGCTGCGCAGAAAGGTCACTGTGAGGGCCAGAGAAAGGCCCTCTCAGCGCCAGCCAAGGAGGGGGCAGAGAGAGAGAGAGAGAGAGAGGCAGGTAGGAAGTCGTCTCGACTGCGATCATGTACGTCAAGCAAGAGAGAGAAACCAATAAAAGTGAGGAACACACGTGGTATACCTTCCCATGCCCCGTGGTTGTGTCTGCCCCTCTCCCTCATGTAGCTCCCCGTCAGGGAAGGCCACTGCCCGGCGACAGCCAGCAGTGACCCCGCCTGCAGGGAAGCCAACAGAGGGCAAAGGGCATGAACACAGACCAAGAAAAGGCGTGTCTTCCTGATACGCACAGCGGGCGGGGCGTGCCTTAAGGTGCGATCTGTCCACACACACGCACAGCCCCCATGCAGGCAGGCAGGCACGCAACACCATGGATGGTAGGCTAGCTCTCCGCGGCAACGAGCCAAATCGGCTCGGCTCCAACGCGGTTCGGTTAGTTAACCGATGGACTGGATGCATGAGGGATAATGAAGATGAAAACACAAAGGCACACACATCAATCAATCAGGGGGAGGAAGAAAGAACAAACACCCCACACGCAACACAACAACCCAGCCTAACTCAACCCATCCATCACCTGAATTAGCCACTCAGGCAGGCGGCTTCCTACCTACCTCTACCTACCTACTGCCGCCCACCTCGCCCACATCGACGTCCTCACTGCACGTGTTCTCACACGCCTCCATGTCCTCCTTCTCGCCACAGATCTTCTCGATCTTCTCGCCCTTGGCCACCAGCTCCTTCCGGTAGTCGCCGCCCTCACTCTCAGCACCGGCAGGCGCGTCGTGGTCGTCAATGACGGTCTTGAGCAAGGTGAGGGCGGTGATCTCGCACATGCCGTCTGACGGCCGCCAGACGCAGCCGATGTCCTTGTGCTCGGCGCACGAGTCGGCGTCCCAGAGTTCGGTGCACTTGATGGCGTCGAGGTAGCGCCTGTACTCGCATTTCTCGTCAGGGAACTGCATGCTCCAGAACTCCTCGACGGTGACGTCACACCCGACGCTGAGCGAGTCCTGGTACCAGACGCAGCCCTCGGCGCCGTCGCATGTGTCAGGGTCGAGGTGGCGCTGACACTTGGAGAAGTCGATGGGCGGCTGCACACTCATCATGCCCTCCTGCTCTGCACACACAGACCGACCGGCCGGAAGGAGAGAGAGGCGGATGTGTGTGTGTGTGTGTGGTCTGTACTCATATACACCCCTTACTTACCGGCCTGAAGCAGGGGGTCGTTGAAGCCGCACTGGCCCTCCTGAGGCTTGCTCTGATCAAACAAACAAGGGAGGGAGATGACCGCCGTGTCTGTGTTTCTGTGTGTCCGTGTGTTTTTTTGTCTGTGTGTCTGTTTGTTTGTCGTGGGTGTGTTGATCTCTCACTCACTGACTCACCGGGTTTGGGTACCCCCAGATGCAGTCTGGGTTCTTGTCACACGCATCGCCCTCCAGCACCTGTGGGTGCGTGGGGGGCGGGCACAAATGCAATGCACACACACACACAGGATCCGATCCAGCCATGTGTGCCTGCCTGCCAATTGTACCGTGCCCCCCTGTGCTGTGCTGCCTCTTCCCCACCCCGTCCCACCCACCCGGCATTTCCACTTGCGTTTCTGGACCTCCCCCAGCGGCCCGCATCCCTCCGACTTCATGGCGTCGTGCGACAGCGCTGCGATCACGATTTCCTCCCACAAGAGACACTCCTTGCTGTCGGGATCCCACCGACACAGCCCCGTGCAGGCGTCCTCCGTCTCGGTCGCCTCGCACTTGATGGCCATCTCGCGCGACACCTCCAGCAGCTCTTTCGTGTCCTCGCCCTCGCTCTCCTGCTCCGCCGCGCCACCACCTGCATTGCAACACACAGACACACACAGCAGCCGCATTGCACTGGTTGTCTATCTTTGTCTGCCTGTCAGGACGTGTGGTGTGGTTGTGTTGTTCTCCTTACGTACCAAAGAGGTGGAGGAACATGGAGTCGCCTATTCTGCACTTCTTGTCTGCTGCCGACCAGTGGCACACGCGGTGCGTCTCGCACTCCCCCTGGGCGGCAGCGCTGTGCAGCAGAGCCGCCAGGGCGAGGAGGAAGCAGATGGCCACGTACAAAAGCATTGCGGGAGGGGCGGGATCTGCGATGGATCTGCACACTCACGGCTGCGTCAGCTGCTAGCGCGTGGAACTTCGAGCTGTCCTTCGGTGTCCGTTTCTGCAGCTTAGCTCGCACGTTGGAGGAAGCAAATAGGAAGCAGATGAAATGCCGAATCACAGAGGCATGAATGGCATTGCATCGCCCGAGCAGACAGCAGGCAAGAGCTCGTCAGAAGGCACAGATCATGACACGGCCATCCTGGCAAGATGGGTGATCCCGGTGGACAGCGACACCCCGAGGGTGCTGGAGAGGCACGCTGTGTGCATCAAGGGCGAGAGGATCGCCGCCATCGTGCCCAACGACGATGTGGGCAAGACACACACGGCCAGGAGGGTTGTCGACCACTCCGACACTCATGCGCTCATCCCTGGTGAGAGAGAGTGAGAGAAAGAACGGCCACAGACATGCAGACAGACATATATCTGTGTTGTCTGTGTGTCAGGTTTGATCAACTGCCACGCACACACCGGGATGACGATGCTGCGGGGGTACAGCGACGACCAGGAGCTGCAGGTGTGGCTGCACAAGTTCATCTGGCCGGCCGAGGGCAAGTTCTGCTCGCCAGACTTCGTCAAGTACGGCACCGAGCTGGCGGCCTACGAGATGCTCAAGACGGGCACCACCCTGGTCAACGACATGTACTTCATCCCGGATGTGTCGGCTGAGGTCTTCCGGAGGGCAAAGCTCAGGGCCGTCCTGGGCGAGGCTGTTATCGACTTCAAAACGGGCAAAGTCAGTGAGCCGACCGGCACAGACATACACACAGTTGTGGGAATGTGTCTGTGTCGGTGTCTGTCTGTATGTGTGTGGTTGCTGCATACCATGTAGGTCAAGGAGATGGTGGATGGATCGATAGACTTCATCCGGCGGGAGAAGGCCAAGAACGACCCCTGGATCACCCCGTCCGTAGTCACTCACTCCAGCTACACAGGCAAGAGCAAGCGTGCATCCCATCCAACCGAAGACGCACACGTGGCTGCACACAACACGACCCGCCCCACACTGCATGTCTATGTGTGTGTGTGTGTGTGCAGTGGGTGAGGAGTGGCATGCGGCCTTGGCGCGTGCCAACAACAGTGAGCTGCAGGTGCCCTTCCACACCCACCTGCACGAGACTGAGAAGGAGGTGGCCGACTACCACACACAGCACGGCATCAGTGCCATCGACAGCCTCGACAGGGCGGGGGTCCTCAACGAGCGGCTCGTCGCCGCACACTGCGTGTGGCTGACCGATGAGGAGATCGACAAACTCGCCGAGAGGGGGGTCAACGTCTGCCACAATCCCAAGTCCGTCTCCGTCAGCACATGTGCAGTGCACTCAGATCAGATGGGGAGGATGTGTGTCGACGTTGGTCAGGTCGAATCTGAAGCTGGCGTCGGGTGTGTGTGACGTGGTCAAGCTGCTGCGGCGGGGGGTCAATGTGTGTCTTGGCACCGACAGCAGCTGCTCCAACAACGCACTCAACATGATGTCAGAAATGCAACTGGCCTCGCTGCTCGCCAAGGTCGGGTCGGTCAGACAAGGAAGGACGCAGGAGGGGCCAACGAGTTTGTTGTGTTCTCTTGTGTTGGTTGTTTGTGCAGATGAAGGCCAACAGCGCCGCTGCTCTCGACGACTTCACCGCACTTCGGCTGGCCACCATCAACGGCGCCAGGGCACTGGGCAAAGCCGACGTCCTGGGTGGGTGGGTGGGTCGCCACAGCACGCCACGCCTCGCCCACGGCACCACGAACGAGCACTCTCCTCAGTCCTGAGATCTGTGTGTGTGTGTGACTGTCCCGCAGGCTCCCTTGAGGTCGGCAAGTACGCGGATGTGGTTGCCGTCGATCTGAGCGCCGACGAGCTGCTGCCCATCTATGACCCCATCTCGCACCTCGTCTACACCACCGCACGAAAGGTGCCGCAACTCACTCCCACACTCAACGAATGGCTGACTGACAGCGATCACGAAGCCTCTCTCTTTGGGGCTGTGTGTGTGTGTGTGCGTGTGTGCGTGTGTGTGTAGGTGACGGACGTGTGGATCGGTGGCCACCATGTGGTTGACGGCGGGCACGTGACGACAGTGCAGGTCGAGAAGGAGCAGATCAAACTCTTTGCCGAGAAGATCCGCGAATTCAAGGCGGAGATACTGGCCAAGGATGCCCAAGAGGCGGACAAGGCCAAAGGCGGGTAGGTTAAGCTGATTGACGGGGCCGTGTGTAAGTAACACTCACTGTGTCGTGTGATGTGATGTCACGTTGTGTGTGTGTTTGTGTTGGGTAGGTAGTCGAGTGAGTTTGGGCGTTGGGGGAGGGGAGGCAGGTTTTGCGTCCGATGATTCTGGACAATCGAATCGAGGCTGCTAGGCACTCTCCCCTCTGAGCCGTGCATGACACGTAGCTGGTGTAGTGAGTGGCTGACACGGCTTCTGTTGTTGAATGCATTGTCATACTGTCAATCGGCACATTACAAGTATGCCTCTACGCCCCAGACACATTCGTGTCTGCTTGCAACACTCACTCAGCAAGGAACACGAACGGTCAATGGATCCCCTGACAGAATCACCTGCATGACAGAACCGACACAGACACACGCATGCATCCTTGGAAATCCATCCTCGATGGGAGGGAATGGAAAGACGCCGTCGAGCTCGCGTACCCCCCGCTGCCCCCAGGCGGCGAGGAGGAAGGTAAAAATCACTACGCAGTTTGCGCATTGCAAACTACACCAGCCTGTGTGTGTTTGGTCAGCCGTGCGTCATGGAGACCACCACTGCCTCAGCGCCGACCTCCTTTCTGAGCAAGACCAGGAAGACCGACCCCGACCTGACGCCCGAGGAGTGGAGTCACGTGCAGGACATCGAGCTGCGCATCCAGAAGGACGCATTCCAACGCAGGCTCCGCCTCAAGGAGTTCTTCAAGGACTTCGACCCCCTCCGCAAAAGATACGTCACGCGCACCCAGTTCGAGCGCATCCTCGATGACGCCACTCTCAGGTTGGCGCCGCAGGAGGTGGACCTACTGGCCAGGGCGTACCTGAACGCCCAGACGGGCGACGTGAGGTATGGCGACTTTCTGGACAAGATCGAGAAGGTGTTTCGGCTGCCGTGCATCGAGAAGACGCCTTTGGTGGAGGTGTGCCCGCCGGGGGGCACGCTGCCGCCCAGATTTGAGACCAAGAAGCTTGAGCAAGACGCGGAGGAGAGGGAGACGGACGCGCTCATCGACAGAATGGCTCTCATGCAAAAGACGCGAGGGTGAGTGAGACATCACACCATCACAACCGCAAAGGCCCGCCGGCCATTCCACCACACCCTCCCTCTGTAGGGTGGTGTTCAAGTACTATTATCAGAACTTCGACAAGCTTCGTTCGGGCTTTGTGACTGAGAACCGGTTCAAGCGGTCGTTTCCCTTTCCCTTCACCCCCCGTGAGATTCAGCTGCTGGCCGACCGGTTCGTCAACGACAAGGGCGACGTTAACTACATGGCCATCCACGACGCCATCACCGACCCCAAGTCGTTCATCGCCGAGGACCCGCCGCCCGCTCTGTCGCTGCTGCACATGAGGGAGGACGAACGCATGTGGAACCAACAGAAGCTCACGCCGGAGGAAAAACTTCAGGCAGGCAGCGGGGGGGGG